TCTCAAAAAAAAAAAAAAAAAAGTGTGTGGGGTGCTGGAGAGATGGCTCAGCAGTTACAGCACTGGCTGCTCTTCCAGAGGACCCGGGTTCAGTTCCCAGCACCCGCATGGCAGCTAACAATCATCTGTTTGGGTTTTGGGGTTGTTTTGTTTTGTTTTTGTCTTTTTTGAGACAGGGTCCCCTGTAGCCCCAGCTAGCCTGGAGCTCACTTTGTAGACCAGGCCAGTCTCAAACTCACAGAGATCTGCCTGCCTCTGGCTCCCAAATTCTGGATCCAAGGGCATGTGCCACCAAGCCTGGCTATATATATATATATATTTTTTTTAATTATTTTTATTTAAGCTGGGCTTGGTGGTGCACCCCTGTAGTCCCAGCACTTGGGAGGCAGAGGTAGGCAGATCTCTGTGAGTTCAAGGCCAGCCTGGTCTACATAGTGAGTTCCAGGACAGCTGGGGCCACAGGGAGACCCTGCTTCAAAAAGACCAAAAAAAAAATTATTTTTATTTTATATGTGTGTGTGTGTATTGCCTGCATGTATGTAAGTGCACCTGTGTTGTGCAATGACTGCAGAGGTCAGAAAAGGCTGTCAGATCCCTGAAACTGGAGTTATGTACAGTTAGCTGCCATGTGGGTGCTGGGAACTGAACCTGGGTCATCTGCAAAAGTAGCCAGTGCTTTTAACCAGTGAGCCATGTTTCTAGCCCCTGACTTTTTTTCTTGAAGATCATTCTTACTTTCTAAAATTTAATGGCAGGGCATGGTGGTGCATGCCTTTAATCCTAGCACTCTGGAGGCAGAGGCAGGCACAAGGGGATTTCTGTGAGTTCAAGGCCAACCTGGTCTACATAGCAAGTTCCAGGCCAGTTGAGGCTACGGGGAGACCCTGTCTCAAAAAGAACCCCCCCCCAAAAAAAAAGTTAGAGCTGCTAACCTGAGAGAAAGTGCCTGGAAGAAACTTGTTCTTTTGTTTTGTTTTGTTGTCTTTGCAAACCACCAAAGATCTTAGTGTTTCCTGACACCTCACTTGAACTCATCCTGAAAATAAAAATTTTGTCTCAAATGAAAATCAGTTAAAAATACTGGAATGGCTTTGCACAGAGGGAAAGCAGATGTCCTAGTGTGACCTCAAGCCTGGTGACCTCTCAGATCCTCTGTCATTACTCTCCAGCAAGTGCCCTGTGCTCTACTCACCCTGCTGCCCCAGGGCCTTTGCACTGGCTTGTTCCTGCTTGAAATCATCTCCCCACAGGCTCTGTTAAACTCCCTGACCTCATCTCTATCTGGTTCATCTTGCCTGGTCATCGTACTGTAAGGCATCTCACTTTATCTCCCTTCTTTATTTCCTGAAAGTAATTATCAGTCAAAACATCTGATCATTTATTTAGCTTTGTCTCCCCTCACTTGGGAATCAGCAAGGATGGAATCTAAGCGCTCAATGAAAGCTTCTGGAATGAACAAATGTGTATGTGGCCACAGAGGCTGGGAGGATGGGCAGTACACACTGGACTCCAGGCAAGGATTATGGGGAGCTGTGTGGATGTCCCCCCTATCCCTTTTTCCGGCTCTCAGCAGGCAGTGACCCCTCCCTTTGCTGAAAGCCTGGTGACCCCTCTCTTTGCTGAAAGCCTGCTGCCTCCAGCAGACTTCCTGGGTGGCAGGGCCATCTGGCTAAGCAAGGCTTGGTCTTTGAGATCACAGGAAAGGCTCTGGTCACAACAAGGCCTCAGGTAACCTACAGTTAAATCTTACAAAGCCCATGAGCTACAGGTGATATGGCATCAGCTTAAATTAAATACAGCCCAGTCCCTACGTACAACAGGACCCCTGGACCCATTCTGCCCAGCTACTTAAGAGAATGAGGAGGCTAGCAAGATGGCTTAGTGGTAAAAGTGCTTGCCACCAAACTTGACAACGTAAGTTCAATTCCCAGAACCCACATGGTGGAAATAACCAACTCCTACAAGTTGTCTTCTGACGCACACACACAAATAATATAATATAATATAATATAATATAATATAATATAATATAATATAATATATAATAAATTAATATAATATTATATATAATAATATATAACTATAATATAATATAATATAATATAATATAATATAATATAATATAATATAATATAAGGAAGGCTGGGCATGGTGATGCATACCTTTAATTCCAGCACTCAGGAAGCAAAGGCAGGAAAATGACTGAGTTTGGAGCCTAGCTTGTTCTATGTAGTGAGACCCTATCTTTAAAAAAAGGCAGGGAGCGCGGGGTGTGGTGGCACATGGCTTTAATCCCAGCAGAGGCAATCAATCAGATCTCTGTGAATTCAAGGCCAGCCTGGTTTACTTAGTGAATTCCAAAAACAAAACAAAACAAAATGAAACGAAAAGGCCGGGAGGTGCTAGAGATGAGGCTCAGTGATTTAGAGCATGTACTGCTCTTGCCGAGGTCCTGGTTTGGGTTCCCAACACCCACGTGCTGGCTCTGTTGCTTTCTTCCGGCCTCCTTAGGATCCACGTGTTGACTCACAGCCATCTGTAACTCCAGTTCCAAGGGATTCAATGCCCTTTTCTGGCCTCTGTGGGCACACACATGATACACATCCATACATGCAGGCAAAACATAAAATAAAATAGAAATAATTTTAAAATATTTTTATTATTTTTTATTTTATTATTTTTATTCTATTTTATGTGTATGAGTGTATTGCCTGCATGCATGTATGCGCATCTGTGTCATGCAATGCCCATGAAGGTCAGAAAAGGGCATTGGATCCCCTGGAATTGAATTATGGACAGTTGTTAGCCACCATGTGGGTACTGGGAATAGAACCTGGGTCCTCTGCAAGATCTCTTAACGGATGAGCCAACTCTCCAACCCCCTTAAAAATATTTTTAAAAGCCGGGTGTGGTGGCACATGCCTTTAATCCCAACACTTGGGAAGCAGAGGCAGGCAGATCTCTGTGAGTTGAGGCCAGCCTGGTCTACATAGCGAGTTCCAAGCCAGCTGGGGCTACAGGGAGGCCGTGTCTCAGATGATAAAAAAAAAATTTTTTTTTAAACTTAAAAAAAAAATTTATTATTTTTATTTTATGTGATTTGTGTATTGCCTGCATGTAGATAAAGTGCACCCATGTTGTGCAAGGTCAGAAAAGCCTGTTGGATCCTCTGGGTCTAGAGTTATAGACAGTTGTTAGCTGCCATGTGGGTGCTGGGATTTGAACCCAGGTCTTCTGCAAGAACAACCAGTGTTCTTAACCGCTGAGCCATCTCTCCAGCTCCAAAAAAGTTAAAGAAAAAAAAAATTTTTTTTTAAAGAAAGAAAAGAGGGACTAAAAGAAGGGCTGGAGACATGGCCCAGTAGTTAAGAGCAGGAACTGGTTTTGCAGAGGACCAGAGTTCAGCACACAGTAGCTCCAGCTCCACGGGATCCTATATACCCTGCTCTGGTATCCATGGGCACCTGCACTCATGTTCCCATACCCAGACACATACAGGTACACACAATTAAATTTAAAATTAAATCTTGAAAAGGAGTTGGGAACTGGGTGTGGCGGCACATTCCTTTAATCCCAGCACTCAGGAGGCAGAGGCAGGAGGATCTCTGTGAGTTCAAGGCCGAAATTCAGAGAACAGTGGCCAGGGAAGGACGGGTGGAAAAAAAAAAAAAAAAAAAAAAAAAAAAAAAAAAAAAAAAAAAAAAATCCAGAACTCCAATTCCAGAGGATCTGACGCCCTCTTCTGGCATTTGTGGGCATTGCATGCACGGGTGCACCTACATACGGGCCAAACACTCATACACATAAAATAAAAATAATTAAAAACACAACAAACAGAAAAAAATGATACGGAGAAGAGACTTGAAACAGACCCTCCCAAGCCCAAACCCCCGATCAGCCGGCTATGCTCCAGCTGCTGCCACCTGGCCCCGCCCTCTTACTGTCCAACCTGAGATGCTCCAGGTCCCGCCTTTTCCTGCTGCCGTGGCCCCGCCTTCATCCGGCCCCGCCCTCGCTCCGTTAAGCCCCGCCTTATCCCGTGTCTGGCCGGAGGACTTCCTGATCCCGCCCCTTCCTGCTGCCCCGGTCCTGCCTTCCTCAGGCTCCGCCCTCACGGCATTAAGCCCCTCTCTCTTCCTATCCAGCCAGAGGAGCTCCTGTCCCCGCCCCTTCCGGCTGCCATGGCCCCGCCCCGGCACACTAAGCCCCGCCCCTCTATGCTTGGCCTTCCTGCTCTCGGTTCCGCCTCCAGGGAGCCCGGCGCACTCTTGGCTGGGGTGAGGCTGGCCGCGGAAGCACGTTCATCTCTGTGTTACGGCGTCTGGTCAGCAGTGGAGCCGTCGGTGTCGACGAGGCCGGCCAGGGCGGCGCCATGGGAGGCCCTAGACGCCCCCGCCCGCCTCCTGCTGCGGGCGCTGCAGACCGGGCCCGACGGCGCGCGGCGCGGGCTGGCGGTGCTGCGTGCGCTGGGCCGCCGCCCGGAACCCTTCGCCTGGGGCGGCTTCCTTGAGAAGCTAGGCCGCTCGGAGCCGATGGTCTGGGGGCCCGACGGCCGCATGGAGTTGTAAGTCCTCTGCCCGTGGCCGCGGCCGCCACCGCCCCTCTTCTTTGACACCGGCCTCCCGGAGCGCAGGCTAGCCTCGAACTCCCATCCTGCCTCTCTCCATCTCCCCGAGTGCTGGGATGACTGGCGATCGCCCCCACGCCCAGCTGAGACACGCCTTCTGCCAGGCGAGTTTCTTAAGTGGAAGCAAATTGATTTTGATTGCATACTTCCAAGTCTGAAAAATAATTAAAGCCCGGTGTGGCGGCGCAGGCTAGTAATCACCGCACTCGGGAGACAAAGGCAGGAGGATTCTTGCAAATTCCAGGCCAGCCAGGGCAACATAGCAAGGCCCTGTCTAAACAACTCAAAAGACCAAACGTACCTCCAAGTGCAGGTGTACTTATGTAAAGTGGACACGCGTTAAAATACAAACATTAGCTGGGCCTGGTGGCGCATGCCTTTAATCCCCGCTGGAGGCCAGTCTGGTCTACATAGTGAGTTCAGGCCACCTGGGGCTACAGAGAGACTGTTTCAAAAATACCCCCTCTCAAAGTGATAAAATACAGACTGACAGTGTGGGGAAGCGCTGGTATTCACCTGTAATCCCAGCATTCAGGAAGTTTGGGATTGCCTTGAAATGGAGACCAGCCTGGACTACACAGAGAAATCCTGTCTCAAAAAGAAAATACAGATGTTATATATAGAATTTTTTTTTTTTGGTCTTTTTGAGTCAGGGTCTCCCTGTAGCTCCAGCTGTCCTGGAACTCACTATGTAGACCAGGCTGGCCTCGAACTCAGAGATCCGCCTGCCTCTGCCTCCCAAGTGCTGGGATCAAAGGCGTGTGCCTGGCAAGTATATAGAAGTTTTAAACGGATAGGTAATAGACGGTTTTTGGAGCATAATGTCTACCTTAAGGCACAGTCACTTTCCTTGAGGGTACTAAGGATGAATCCATATATTAGTGTTCTTGATAATTTCTACCTTTGTGAATGATTTTGAACCTTTAACTTCTTTTTGTGACTGACAAAGAATTCCAGAAGCCTGAGTGTCAGAATGTTGTTTTCTTATTTTTTAAGTTTTTATTTATTTTTGAATTTTTATTTCCTGGCCAGGCGTGGTGGTGGTGGCACCTTTAATCCCAGCACTCAGGAGGCAGAGGCAGGCAGATCTCTGTGAGTTTGAGGCCACTTGATCTACATAGTTCCAGGACAGCTGGGGCTATAGGGATACCCTGTCTCAAAAAGAAAAAAATTTATTTCATGTGTAGGAGTGTTTTGCCTGCATGTATGTAAGTTCACCTGTGTTGTGCAATGTCTGTGGAGGCCAGAAGAGGGTGCTGGATCCCTTAGAACTGGTGTTACGGACAGCCACCATGAGGGTGCTGGGAACTGATCCACGGTCCTCTACAAGAGCAGCCAGTGCTCTTAACTGCTGAGTCATCTCTCTAGCCCCTATTTACTGTTTGTTTGTTTGTTTATTTATTTTTGAGACAGGGTCTCCCTGTAGCCCCAGCTGTCCTGGAACTCACTATGTAGACCAGGCTGGCCTTGAACTCACAGAGATCTGCCTGCCTCTGCCTCCTGAATGCTGGGATGCCACCATGCCCGGCTTCAGCCCCTGTTTATTTATTTTTGAGACATGATCTCTTTGTAGCCCTAACTGGCATGGATCTCACAGAGATCCACCTGCCTCCTGAGTGAAGAAAGGAAAAGTGTGCACCACCAGACCCTTCTTTCAATCCTCAGAAACATGTAGGCACCCCTGTCTATTTCCTGTCACAGTGCCCCTCCTTAGCCCTACCCAGTCTGCCTCACCAGATGTGGAACATGCTGTAATCCAAGCACTTGGGGAGCTGAGGCAGGAGGATTGTGAGTGCAATGCCAGCTTGGGTTACATAGTGAGCCTCCCCCATTTCAAAACAAAACAAAAAAACCTCTGACTGTTCTTAGGACCCCACTGTTGCTGCGATTGCCTGGACTGTGCCAGAGGAACCTGATGTCCCTGCTGATGGCTGTCCGACCCTTGCTGCCTGAAGGCAGACTCCACTCTGTGCTGCAGCTCACCCAGCAAGACAGTGCACCTGCCCCAGATGCCTGGCTTCAAGCCCTGGGGACCTTGCTTCAAAGGGATGTAGGGGCTGGGGTCACTATGGAAGGAACCTCTCCACTGTCCACAAGCTGTCAGAGCCAGCTCCGAGGCCTATGTGGGCAACTGGGCCAGGGGGGCAAGAGGCTGAAATTGGGTCTCGCTCCAGACCCTGAAGAGGAAAAGAACTGGTGCTCCCAGCTATGTGAAAAACGCAGGAAAGAGCCAGAGGAAGAGCCTGTGAGTCCTGAGTCAGAAAGAGCCCTTAAAAGGTTCCGGGGTTGTGAAGAGGAGGAAGAAAAGGACTGTGAAGAAAGCCCCAAGCCAGAGTCACTGGATTCCCAGACAGATGCAAGAGGGGTATCACTCATCTCAAATCTGCCTGTCACAGGAGCCGATCCCCCTGAGGCTGGCCTGGGTGTGGAGAAGGCCAAGGGTCCGGCTGAGAATGTGGAATTGCCCAAAGCTGTCCAGGTACCATGTCAGGGAGACTGGGTTCAGAGTGGTCCTTCAGGATCCTGGTGCAGCTGGCTGGGGCATAGTTCTCAATAGGAACCACTTCAGTGCATGGGGCAAGGGTGGGGAATGGGAGGTATGCAGCCTCCCTTCCTAAGACTGAAAGAGTGGGTGGAGAGGGACTCTCTACAAGTGGGAAACACTTGTCCTAATGATCTACAAGGTGGGCTAACGGGTGCCTCCCCTGCCGCGCCATCCAATGGGATGAGGGAGTCATGCCAGCATCCAGGCCGCCTACCTGTGCAAGCCAGGTCTACCTACTCCATTGGGGTTGGATGCAGATAAGGCCAGTGGGCTGGGTTTCACAAGGGCCTGCTCTAGGCACCTTGTAGGATGGAGGTGGTACTTACAGGATGGATGATTTCTGGCTCTCCTGAATCGCCTTTGCCCACCAGCTCCCATTGGCTGGGACCTGTTAGCTGAGGGAGCAGGCTCAGTTGCCCTGCAGGAATCTAGCAGTAACTGGCCCCTCCTCCACAGGATCAGTTGCCCAGGCTGCAGCAGCTGCTGAAGATCTTCCAGAAGGTGACTGGCCCTATCCTGCTCACCATGGACCTTAACCATGCTCAGGGAAGCCTCAGATCAGAGGCTGGTGGAGAACAGGGTGGGAAGGAAATCTGAGGACAGTTGCTCTGGGGTCAAGAGTGCACATGCCACTAACCCCTAGGAAGTTTGATACCCCCTTCCAGGAGCTTGCATGCACATCCATGGGGTGGCCCCAGTGCTTGGCCAGCCCTCACATGGAATTTGCCTCCCCAGGGGTTGGAGGGCCTGGAGGACGAGCCCCCTGTGGAGCTGCAGTGTCTCCATGAATGTAATCCAAGCCAGGTGAGATAGGCCTGCCTGGCCCTAAGGTCCCCTCCTTTCCCTGCCTCTGTTACCTCACTCTCTGTGGAGCTCAGGGAAGGGGCTTACATGTCCTATCTCCTCAGTACAGTTACCCTGAGTGGTTTCTTTAGCCCTTGGTTCCTACCCCCGCTCTACCTTGCCCTAGAGTGTCCTTGCCCTGTCTTTTCTGTTGCCCTCTGGACTTGTGATAGCCTTGAAGAGCCAGCCTGAGTGTTCTGGTGTCTCCCCACCCAGATGGAGCTATTGTGCCGCCAGCTGCAGCTGTCCCTGCTCCCTGACGCAGGCCTCTTGCAGCTCTGCAGCCGACTACTGACTCTTGTACCTACCCTTAGCATCAGCAATGCCACCGTGCTGGTCAAGAGCCTCTTTCTTGAAAGGGTGGGTGCAGGGGGCACTACTGGGAGGCCAGGGACAGTGGGGAGCATCTGAGTCCTTAGAAGGGGCATTTTGGAGAGGGGCGTGGAGGGGTGGGTCCCCTGGCTGTTTATCCATATAGCATGCAACTTCATCCTTCCTGGACCCCAAAAACCATCCAGGGTTTTTATGGGAGTCAGAAAGGCACTGTATTCCTCTCATGGGCCCCTGTAAGTCCTGGACAGATATAAGCACATGTGATGAATGTTTCTGTGAAGTGACTGTGTCTTCTCCCCACTGGCTGTAGATCCTCTCTCTGACATCATCAGCTTCCAGGCTGCTCAGAGCTGCCCTAACCTCCTTCTGTATGAAGTATACCTACCCTGTCTGCACAGCTCTTCTTGGCCCCTTGCTTCAGGATCCAGGCACAGGTACTTCTAGAACCAGCCCCAGACCTGGAAGCTGCCCTCTCTGCCCCAGTACACTTCGCCCTAGAGGGAGCCTGGCAGGAGTTGGGGATTCAGTGGGTAAAAATGCCAATTTCTTTCCTAACAATGTCCTGATAACAGGTGGATCGTCCTGTTGTCCCCGTCCTGCCATCCTTCAGTATCTCTCCTCTTCCCTGCGCAGGTCCAGTGCAGATAGAATTACTCTGTTACCTTATAAAGGATAATTCTCTGGAGCCAGACATGCAGGTCCAGATGCTGGGGTGAGTGTGTAAGCCTCCATACTAAGGCCCATGGTTCAGTCACCAGCACCATACATGCCTGTGCATGCACGCGTGCGCGCGCACACACACACACACACACACACACACACACGCGGGCCTTGCATGCAGGCCACAGTGTAGTTATTGCCCCTCTCCTTGCGGTCTAAACCTACCTTGTATCTTCTTTGTTGTGGGGCTGGCTCTGGCCAGGTGCCTTGAAGAATGCAAACAGGAGGCTAGTGGTCCCTGCTGCAGAGTAGCACAGCCTAGTTGGAACATGGCACAGTGGTTAAAGAGCACTGGCTCTGGAGTCAGACATGAGTTCAAATCTTACCCTTGTGTTCTTTTCTTAAACGTATGAACGCAAACTTTTTTGGTCTTTTTGAGACAGGGTCTCCCTGTAGCCCCAGTTGTCCTGGAACTCACTATGTAGACCAGGCTGGCCTTGAACTCACAGAGATCCACCTGCCTCTGCCTCCGGAGTGCTGGGATTAAAGGTATGCACCACCATGCTGGCTTGTTTGTTTGAGAGAGGGTCTCATGTGATCCAGGCTGGCCTTGAACTTAGCTATGTAGCTGAGGCTGGCCTTGAACACCTGATCCTCCTGACTCCCAAATCCTGCTGGGATTAGGCTTTAACTCACGTTACTACATGTCCCTAAGCCTCAATTTCCTTGCAAGAGATGGAACTGACACACTTTGTAGAATTTTTCTAAGTAATAGAGTAGTAATGCAGATGATGAGTTTACAGGAAATCTGCCTCTCAAATGCTAGGAGTGCTGCTTAGGAGGGGCACATGGTTAGCACATGTGAGACCCAGCACCAAGAGAGTGTGTGTGTGTGTGTGTGTGTGTGTATGTTGGCATATAGTAAATCCTCAAAACTGGCATTAAATTAGTATTAAACTAGGCCAAGCATGGTGGCGCATGCCTTTAATCCCCGCACTCGGGAGGCAGAGGCAGGTGGATCTCTTGAATTCAAGGCCAGCCTGGTCTGCAAGGTGAGTTCCAGGCCAGTTAGAGCTACAGGGAGACCCTGTCTCAAAAAGACCAATAAAACAAAAAATTAATATTAAATGTAGGCATTAAAAGTAGGCATTAAAATTGAGGCTCTGATGGCATGGTGGTACACATCTGTAATCCCAGCACTTAGGAAGTAGAGGCAGAAGGATCAAGAGTTCAGGGCCAGTCTTAGCTACATGTCAAATCTGGGGCTGCCCTGAGCTACATGAGAACCTGTGTCAGGAATCTAAAATAGGGGCTGGAGAGATGGCTTAGCAGTTAAGTGTGCACATGCTGCCCTTGAGGAGGACTTGAGTTTGGCTCCTAGCACCCATGTTGAATGGCTCGCAGCTGTCTGACTCCAGCTCCGGGGGATCCAGTGCCCTCTTCTGGCCTCTGTGGGCATTGTACTCATAGGGAACACGTTTGCAGGCAAAACACTCATACGGGTAAAATAAAAACAAATCGTTTTCTTTTTTTCTTTTTTTTTTTGGTCTTTTTGAGACAGGGTCTCCCTGTAGCCCCAGCTGTCCTGGAACTTGCTATGTAGACCAGGCTGGCCTCGAACTCACAGAGATCCGCCTGCCTCTCCCTCCCCACTGTTCTTGTTTTTTAAGATCCATTATTATGGCTGGGCGTGGTGGTACAGGCCTTTGATCCCAGCACTGGAGAGGCAGAGGCAGGGGGGTCTCTATTAGGTTAAAGGCCGCCCGGGCTTTATTATGAGGTTCAAGCCAGTTGGGGGTACAAGGGGACCCTCTTTCCAAAAAAACCAAAAAAAAAAAAAAAGAAAATAAGAACAAGGAAAAACAAAATAAGGTTGGTGAGGTGGCTCAGCAGGTAAAGGCACTTGCCACTTTGCCTAAAGAACCTGAGTTCCATCTTTGCAATCCACCTGATAGAAGGAGAGAATCAGCTTCTGCAAGTTATCCTCTGACCTCCACATGTGCTCTACGGTACATAAATGCGTACACACATACTTTAAGTAAACCAAAATATATAAAATTTGAGGAGTCAAGATATAGGCATGTGGGGACTAGAGAGATGGCTCAGTGGTTAAGAGCACTGACTGCTCCTCCAGAGGACCCAGGTTCAATTTCCAGCACCCACATGGCAGCTAACAACCCTCCATAACTCCTTTTCTAGGGGATCTGACACTCTCTTCTGGTCTCTGCAGGCATTGTACATGTGGGTGCACTTACATGCAGGAAAAACACTCGTACACATAAAACAAATTTTTAAAAAGATACAGGTGCCAGCACTAGGGAGGCAGAGGTAGGTGGATCTCAAGGCCAGTCTGGTCTACATAGTGAGTTCCAGGCCAGCTGGGGCTACAGGGAGACCCTGTCTCAAAAAGACCAAAAGAAGATACAGGCATGTGAAACAAATAGTAAGACAGACTCCCCAGACAGACATGGGATATAGAGTGCTAATTAGAAGCCAGGCATGATAGCTCATGTCTGTAGTTCCAGCACTTAGGAGTGGTGTGGCAGGATTGATTGCTGTGAGCCTGGGCTAGACCTTCTTAAAACAAAGAAAGGGAGTGGCCTCAAAAATAATAGCAGCCACTACTTCCTGAGATGCCATCATGTGGCCTATGCCCCAGTGCTGCAGCTACCTCAGGAAAACTGCACAGAGAGGTTAAGGGAATCACCAAAGCTTACGTAGCCAATGAGTGATAAAGCCTGGGATCAGACCAGTGTCTGTGCCCAGGAAGGTGCACGTGTGGGCTCTGTACCTGTGGCTCCTGGGGCTGCTACCCATTCTAATGAGCACTGTTGGCAGGGAGCTTGGCACTGCCAGGGCCTTGCCCTGGGAGAGGAGGCCCGAGCTTGCTCACCAGGTGTCCTCTGCACAGGCAGGTGGTGGAGCTGGCCTGGAGGGAAGAGACATTCCTGGTATTGCAGGCGCTCCTGGAGAGGCAGGTAAGCCATCTGCTGCCCTGGGGTACAGGGAGAAGTTCCGCACTGTTGGTGCAGACGCAGGCAGCTGGGCTTTGGAGTCTTTACTGGCCCTAGTCAAGCAGGACAGCTGACCTCCCGCAGAGTGTCCGTGACAGTGCAGAAAGTCCTCTACTGAGGGCAGACCAGAGAGCTGACCCCGTGGTCCATCTAGCTGCCTCTGACTAGCAGCTGGGCTTCAGCACTAGCCCTTCTTTCTTTTTTTCACAAATCCACTTTTCTTTATTTACTTTCCACTAGTTTAAATCTGTGAGGGGTGCAGCATCCCACGCATTCTGTGTCCAGTGGCCTTTGCAGGAAGGTTGCTTTGGGATTTGGCATGAACCATGCCACTGTTTCCATGGGCCCAGGCTACCTTTCCCCAGATTACTCTGGTTTCATTTGGTTTGCCACCAGGAGTCACTGTGTTGTTTTCTACTTTATACACTTGAGGGCATCTCTTGCCTAAGTAGAATTGTTTCATCTTGGGCATAAACACCTTTGATTTTAAGAAGAGCTATGTGCTCGGTGGTTCCAGAGACCTCACTTAGAGCCAGCAAAAGTGGCCTTGCACCACAGTCTTCCAAATATATTTTTATGTGTTTTAGAAGTCCTGTTCCTAGCAGGCCTCTACCAGCACCAAGATCTCTTTCTTTCATTTTTTTCCTTCCTTCCTTTGGTTTTTGAGACTGGGTCTCATGAAGCCCAAGCTGGCTGAACCTCTGGACTTGAACCCCTTGAACTTTGATCTCCTGCCTGTATCTCCATAGTGCCATGATTACACGTATGCCTTAACCCTGCCTTGATTAGATTCACTATTTTACCTATTTATAATTTAACTAATTACTTATTTATTTTTGGTCTTTTTGAGACAAGGTCTCCCTGAAGCCACAGCTGACCTGGAACTCACTTTGTAGAACAGGCTGGCCTTGATCTCATGGAGATCTGTCTGCCTCCTGAGTGCTGGGATTAAATGTGCCACCAACCACACCTGTCATATTTCATTTATTTTACGTGTATGAGTAGTGCCTTCATGCATGCAAATGCACTGGTGTTATGCAATACCCACAGAGGCCAGAAGAGGGCATTGGATCCCCTGAAATTGGAGTTACAGATCTTTGTTACCTGTCATGTAGGTGCTGGGACATAAACCTGGTTCCTCTGTAAGAGCAGCCAGTGCTCTTAACCACTGAGTCATCTCTCCAGCCCCAGATTCACAATTTTTTTTTTTCCTTTTTGAGACAGGGTCTCCTTGTAGCCCCAGTTAGCCTGGAACTTACTATGTAGACCAGGCTGGCCTTGAACTCAACAGAGATCCACCTGCCTCTGCCTCCTCAGTGCTGGGATTAAAGGTGTGCATCACCATGCCTCTTTATTTTTAAATATGATTTTCTCTTTAAAATTGTAAAAATGTAGTTTACGTGTATGAGTGTTTGGCCTCCATGTATGTAAGCATACTCGTGTACGATGCCTGCAGAGTCCAGAAAAGGGCATCAGATCCCTTGGAACCGGAGTTTCATCTGGTTAGCCACCATGTGGGTGCTGAGAACTGAACTCAGGTCCTCTGCAAGAGCAGCCAATGCTGTTAAACGCTGAGCTAGCTCCCCAGCCCCAGACCTTGTCTCTTTTTGTCAAGGTCTCCTCCTCTGAGAATGGGGATCACATAGTGTTTGCCATGTCAGCCTAGGGTGAGGCTTCCATGAGGCAATGGGTGTGACAGCTCAGAGTGCAGCTGGCAGTGTCTCTCCAACCTCACCACTTTTAACTCCAGTCCTAAGGCTTCAACCACCAAGGCAGGCTAGAATCACTGGCTCCCCGTGGCTCTAATCTGAGCCTTTGTGTTGGCAGCTGCCTTGTTGAGACCTGTATGTGCCATCTTATTTGTCCTTTGTACTGTCTTCAGTTAGATGTTTTGAGCCCTGTTATACAGCTATGGGGGCTGCTCCCATCATGGCAGCCAGGAAACAGAAAGGAAGAGCGGGGTCAGGGTCCCACCATCCCTTTCAAGGACAAACTTCCCAGTGACCCATCTCCTACTAAGCACTACCTCCTAGCAGCACTGCCCTGGGGACCAAGCCTTCAGCATGTGGGCCTTTGGAGGGACTGTATAGATCCACACTAGAGTGCTTGATTCACCTACCTGCTGGATAGCAGAGCTGGGGTGAGCCCAGGGATGGCCTTGTGATACTGCCTTGTCTCAATCTGTGCAGCTAGAGATGGCCCCTGAGATGTTCGGCATCTTGATGGAGAAGCTCTGTAAAGAGGGGCTGGCAGCCACCACCTCCATGGCCTATGCTAAACTCATGCTGACAGTGATGACCAAGTACCAGGCTAATGTGAGTGTTAACAGGGCTGGGGGAGTCCTGCTGGGAGGGCTGTTCTGAGCCTACCTGAAGGTATACAGATATGTTTGCCATGGAAACCACCAGTTCAGGCCCAGGAGTAGGGGTGGGGCTGCTTGGGGGTTCATTTGTCCAGCCAACAGCTCTTTGGGTGCTAGTGGAGTACTGGGAAGTCAGGTGTGACCAGCATGCAGTCCTTGCCCTTGAGCTGACCCTGCCCCTCAGCCCCAGGCTGGGGAGAGGGAAGCAGGTAGCTAATGCCAGGCAGGAGCCAGGTGAGAGGTATACGTGGGTTATTTGGGGACAAAGGAGCAGGGGCAGCTAAGCTGTACTGGGAATTGGGACTGTCTTCCTGCCTCTCAAACAGTGATTGTGCAGGTGTGCATACCTGTAATTCCAGCACTGGAGGGGCTGAGATAGGAAGATTGCTACAAGTTCAAGGCCAGCCTAGACTACATAGTGTCTCAAAAATACAAAAAAGAGGGGTCTGAGATGTAGCTCAATTGGTAGAATGCTTGCTTAGCATTCACAAAACCTTGGGTTCTCTTCCCAATACTGCATAAAGTATAAGCTTAGCACTTGGGAGGTGGAGGCAGACCAGAAGTTCAAGGCCAGCCTGAGACCTGACCTTTTAAAAAAAAAAAAAAGGGGGGGGGTTGGGGGGCTGGAGAGATGGCTCAGTGGTTAAGAACACTAGTTGTTGCAGCTGGGCGTGGTGGCACACGCCTTTAATCCCAGCACTTGGGAGGCAGAGGCAGGCAGATCTCTGTGAGTTCAAGGCCAGCCTGGTCTACATAGTGAGCTCCAGGACAGCTGGGGCTACAGGGAGACCCTGTCTCAAAAAGACCAAAAAAAAACCACAAAAAAAACACTGGTTTTAGTGGTTAAGAACACTAGTTGTTGCAGCTGGGCGTGGTGGCACACGCCTTTAATCCCAGCACTTGGGAGGCAGAGGCAGGCAGATCTCTGTGAGTTCAAGGCCAGCCTGGTCTACATAGTGAGCTCCAGGACAGCTGGGGCTACAGGGAGACCCTGTCTCAAAAAGACCAAAAAAAAACCACAAAAAAAACACTGGTTTTAGCTGGGTGTGGTGGTACACGCCTTTAATCCCAGTACTCAGGAGGCAGAGGCAAGCGGATCGGTCTACATAGTGAGTTCCAGGACAGCTGGGGCTACAGGGAGACCCTCTTTCAAAAAGACCAAAAAAAAACCACTGAGAAGACCCAGGTTCGAATCCCAGCACCCACAGCTAACAACTATCTGTAACTCCAGACCCAGGGGATCCAACAGCCTCTTCTGACCTCCACAGGCACTACATGACACAGGTGCACTTACCTACATGCAGGCAATACATACATACACATAAAATAAAAATAAAAATTAAAAAAAAAAAAATTGGACTGGGCATGGTGGCACAGTCCTTTAATCCCAGCACTGGGAAGGCAGAGGCACAGGGATCTCTGTGAGTTCAAGCCCAGCCTGATCTACATAACAAGTTCCAGGCCAGCTGGGGCTACAGGGAGACCCTGTCTCAAAAAGACCAAAAACAAGATGGGGCACACAGAAGGATTAGGAGTTCAAGGCCAGCCTGTGCTTATATGTGATCTCCCCACTGACCCGCTATGAGCTGTGTGGCTGGAATTTGATTCTGGATCCTCCTGAATCCATGCTTGTTTAACCTCGGTGAAGAATTAGGGTTTGCTTGCTCAGGAGTGTGTGTGCCCCTTGCTTTGTGTATCCTGGCTCCTTTTGCAGTCCTACACAGGGCCCATGTGATTGAAAGATGGGAAGGCCCGCTGCTGCAGCCCTGACCTGATTCCTTTTTCTTTCTAGATCACAGAGCACCAGCGCCTGGGCCTGGCCATGGTCCTAGAACCCAACACCACCTTCCTGAAGAAGTCCCTGCAGGCTGCACTGAGACATCTGGCCCGCTGACCATCCATTAGGACACTCTGCCTCAATCTCTTGACACAGAATGCCGACTCCTCCCGGCCCTACACTCCATGTGCAGAGGCCATCTTAGCTCACAGCCAGCAGGGGAGGAGGACCTGAGCCCAGGGGCTGGCTGTCAATCACTTTTCAGACTGGGGGACCTCAGAGGATCAGTAACAGATGTGTGGTACTCTGGGAGGGCTGGGGCACCTGTGTGCTTGGCATGAATCTCTTGTACTCCAGGTAGATGTTGTGACCCTTTGTTTTTGTTTCTGAATTGAATAATTTTGTAATAGTTTTTTAATAAAAAGCAGGAAGTTCAGCTTGGCATCATGTCTCACCCCTGTAGTCCCAGCACTCAGAAGGTAGAGGCAGGAGGATCAGTTCAACATCATCTTTGACTGCAGAGTTGAGGCTAGCCTAAGCTACGTGAGAGACCCTTACTCAACAAAAGGGGGAGGGGGCTGCAGGGATGGCTCAGTTGGTAAAGAGCTTGCCACATACACATGAGATCCTGAGTTCAAATTCCCAGATTCCATGTAAAGCTGGGCACTGTAATCCAGGTGTTCCTACAGCAAGACGGGGTGGGGACAGGAGAATACCACAGTGCTCCAGGGCCAAGAAAGAACAACAAAAGAGAGATCCCATTTCAAATAAGATGGAAGACAGGGCTTCTGAGGTGGTCCTGACCTTCACACACATGCCATGGCATGCCCCACCCCCCGAAAATGCGCAGAAACACACATCATACATGGAAAAAAAATAAAAAGTTCAAGGCTGTCTGAGAAGTGTGTACTTTCCCACTAGTTCAGGATATCTGTTGATCCACTTTTATTTACCCCCTGGACCCCCTGCTCAGGGAGAAGGGCGCTGGGAAGTGCAGTTCTGAAGTTTGTTTATACTCACATGTGAGTTCTCAGCCGCAGCAGCAGTCAGAGCTGCCCTTTGAGCAGGGAGGCAGGCACAACAGCAGCAGCCTCAGGGTAGAGGGGTGGGAATCGGCCTGATTGCAACTGAGGGAGGGTTTTGGATAGATAATTTTTAATGATGGGGATGGAAACCAGGGCTTCATGTTTGCTAGGCTAGGCTAGTGCCATACCACTAAGCTACATCAACATCACCAGCCCAGGTAACATTTGCCCAGGGATCTAAAGGGCTCTTGGGGTTACTGGGGCTGAGGAGAGCGGGTGTACATGGTGCTGTGGACTGGCTTTACATCTTCATGTTCCGACCACACCTTGCACATTCTTCCTAGGTCCTTTGTCCTGCAGGTGGGTGGGGGCCAGAACTTTCTGGGTGGGTCTTTCATCACAGCTTCCTCTGAAAGTCCTGAGTTCCTTATCCAGGGAGGTGATGGAAGGAGGGAAGTCAGCTCAGGGATAAAGCCTGGCTTTGAGAACAAGTTGATGCAGATGGCTGAAGGGAGTGGGACAAAATTTAAGGGACAAATATCAGAATCTCACCCGGTCAGTGCCCTTCACTGTGTGGCAGGGGTGGCAGGTGACACCCCAAACCCTCACCCAAGGCAGGCTCTCCTGATATGCACCTGTTTATGTGCATGGGCCAGATGAACCCACTTTCTCAGACTTGCCTCTGAGGTGGTAGGCACTGGCCAGATCTATGATAGGTGCTCAGAAAGGGTACCTAGAGAAGGGGTCTCCCAATGCCTCCTTCCTTGCCCCCACCCCCAGCCTGGAGTGCAATACTGAGGCTCCCTTGATCCCTTACTACCTGGAGAAACAGGTGTCCAAGAAAGGAAAATGACTTAGTTTGAAAAACCAGCTAATCAAGAAAAGACGGGTGATCTGTCCAAAGTCCATCTGGCCTGGAAGCTGAATCAGGCGGTTTAGACAGAGGGCACTCACAGACCGGTGGGGGCCTTCTCCCCAGGTGGAGGAGGCTTGGGCTCAAATGATGCACACCTGATCCTAATCTAGTCAGAAGACGCTTTCCAGTTCTGCAGATCTCAACAAAGATCATCCTTTCCTCCAGCTATTCCTGTCATCGATTCGTCTGCCCACATGCAGTTGCTGACCTATTGCACAACGCACAGGGTAGCAGGGGCAAGCCGCCCGGAGGCCCCTTAGAGCGGATGGCCAAATAAGGCGATGAAAGAACACTCGCTTCATCTCTGCAGACGTCAGACCTCAGTGCCCGGCATTCTGCCGCGGCCCGGAAGCTAAGAGCCAGGTTGCGGTGGAGAGGACCTTGCAGGATTGCAGCAAAGCATGCGCGCGCGGGTCCAAGCGCAGATCCGCACGGTAGCGCCACCCAGAGGCCGTGCCCCGCAGAGCGCCAAGGCTACGGGAACACGCACGTCTCGCGAGACCAGGAGTTTATTTGAACGCATGCGCGCCGTGTTGGCCTCTCTCTTCCGTCATTGCAGCGCGAGCGGCCATGAGGTAAATGATCATCGGGGTGCCACCCGCCGCCATCCGGGGTCGTCCGTCGCCATCCGCGCATCCAGGTGTCCCGCCCGGGGGGCTGGGGACCGTGCGGCCCGACGCGGAGCCGCACTTGGCTGGCTGGCGGGCTTTTTCGCGCCATCCGTGGCCTTTGTCACTCATCGGGCCTCGGGAGCCATGCACGGCCGGCCCTGAGCGCCCTCGCTTCTCTTCTCGCAGCAGCAAAGTTTCTCGCGACACCCTGTACGAGGCGGTGCGGGAAGTCCTGCACGGGAACCAGCGCAAGCGCCGCAAGTAAGCGCGGGCCTCCCGGGGGTGGGGTGGGGGGCACGGGAATCCCGGGACGACGGGAGCCACGGAGGGTCACGGCTATGCCTGACGTCCTCTTCCTGCTCAGGTTCCTGGAAACGGTGGAACTTCAGATCAGCTTGAAGAACTACGATCCCCAGAAGGACAAACGCTTCTCGGGCACCGTCAGGTTGGCACCGTAATGACCCCACCCAGCCCTCAGTGTCCCCGTGTCCTCCCCTGGAGGCCACATCCCAGGATGGGCACGTGGGCACTGACAAGCCAGGGTAGTTCAGGCCTCCTGCTTTGGGCAGGCTGGCATGGACGGACCCCCACCCTGGGTCTTAAAACAAGAGGGGAGGCGTGGGGAGGCCTTGGCCGAGCCCGCCGGCTAGCCTGAGAAGCCAGGCTAGTGTTGGTGTCGGATGGACGCTCCTGGGTAAGGCTCGGGTTTGCTGCCATCTCAGACCTCCGTCTGCTGCTGGCCACCTCGGGTTGGCTGTGACCTGGTCTGTTCTCCCCCTAAACGTAGGCTTAAGTCCACGCCCCGCCCCAAGTTTTCCGTGTGCGTCCTGGGGGACCAGCAGCACTGCGATGAGGCCAAGGCCGTAGACATCCCTCACATGGACATTGAGGCCTTGAAGAAACTCAACAAAAATAAGAAGTTGGTCAAGAAGCTGGGTAAGTACAGCCGGCCGGGGTTTGAATTTGGGAGGGGCTTACTACTACGTGGGTGACATGGGGCACATTTTCCTACCACACAGGGGTAGTGTTCAGTGAGTTCAGTGAGCAACCTGTGGGAGTGAGTTCTCTCCATCCCCGTGGGCTCCTGGTATCAGACTCAGGTTGTCAGGAATGCACTGAGCACCGAATCATCTTGTCAGCCCCATTTGGTGTTTGACACATGGTCAGTCTGTAGCTTTGGCTGGCCTGGAACTCAAAGATCACCTGCCTCTGCCTCCTGAGTGCTGGGGTAGAGTCCTGAAGGGACAAGGTCTTGGTTGGTTAGCTTGAAAGGTTTCTCATTCTGTTAGGGGTGTGTAGGCTTTATAGTGGAGACCAGGTACTGACACTATGCAGGTGAGAGAGGCTGGCTGTTGGATTGTTCAGTAGACTAGCCAGGTGCTGTGGGGGGGGTCTATGTTTTTACAGACACCCTTTCCCTGCCTGTGGTCTCAGTGGTCATTGTACAGTGTCTCCAGCTATCATAAATCTCACCGCTAAGAAATGGGAGTTTGGGGCACCCACCCCCCCTTTTATGTAACTAGGGATTGAACTAATGCCAGGAAAGTGTTCTGCTACTGAGCTATATCACTAAGCCCTCTTTATTTTAGAGAGGTCATCCATGGTAACCCTGAAACTTGTGATCATCCTCCCCAAGTAGCTGGGGTTACAGGCCTGTACCACCAAACACAGCTTTAGCAGGTATTGATGGGTTTTGTTGTTACTTAGGTTTTTTTTGTTTTGTTTTTTGTTTGTCTTTTTTTGAGACAGGGTCTCCTTGTAGCCCCAGCTGTCCTGGAAGTCACTAGCCGCCTGCCTCTGCCTCCCAAGTGCTGGGATTAAAGACGAGCGCCATTACGCCAGGCTTGTTAGCTTTTGAGGTTCTATCTTGGGTTGGTCTTAAATTCACATTCCCTTGCCTTGGCCTCTTGAGTGGTAGGATTTTAATTGGTGTAAGCACCATCACAGCCTCAACACTGCAGTGTACCATGGATTGTGGGTCATCCTGGTCTAAGACTGGTTTTAGGACCAGTAAAGGTCAACATGAAGTTAACCAGCAGTATGGATCTTTGGAAGGCAGCTTGGAGGATACTTAAAAGGTCAAATGCTTTTCTGGCCTAGTCCTAAATAGCCCGTGATATCTTCCAGCCAAGAAGTATGATGCCTTTCTGGCCTCCGAGTCTCTGATCAAGCAGATCCCACGAATCCTGGGCCCAGGCCTGAACAAGGCTGGCAAGTTTCCATCTCTGCTGACACACAATGAAAACATGGTGGCCAAAGTCGATGAGGTGAAGTCCACAATCAAGTTCCAGATGAAGAAGGTCAGTCCTGTGGGCTGCCACATGGGTCAGGATCCAAAGTATGCAGAATGGAGCTGTGTCAGTGCACCTGGTCTTAACCTGGATCCAAACTCTGCCCATTAGGTCACTGGGGGAGGAGGGACAGGCCATCTGTGTTTCCAATAACCTGACCTTCCCTCCACCCAGGTGCTGTGTCTGGCTGTTGCTGTCGGTCACGTGAAGATGACAGATGATGAACTGGTCTACAACATCCACCTGGCTGTCAATTTCTTGGTGTCATTGCTCAAGAAGAACTGGCAGAATGTCCGGGCTTTATATATCAAGAGCACCATGGGCAAGCCCCAGCGCCTATATTAGGGCTCTTCTAATAAATCCGAGTGCTACCATCCCTCAGTCTGCCTTTGAGGGTGTTTTGTGAATGGTACAAGGTTCCTGTGGAGATCAGAGTTTGCTAGGCAGGTCCTCCCCTGTGCCTACCTAAAACGTTTTCCCTTTACAGGCTTTCACATGAGGGCATTGACTCAGGTTGATAGCCCAGGTAACACTAAATACAAATACTGTATTAGTGTATCCCTGGCTGACCATGAATGGATCCCTTGCCGCCACGAAGTACTGGGGTCAAAAATAGGCATCAGCTTCATTTAGCTACAATAAATAGGAAGTGACACCTCTACCATCTGGACCTAAGGATTGGATTGGTTGGGGTGGGGTGGTCCACAGGATGTCACTGATAACCAAGCTGCAATCTTTGTTGGTATAAAAGGGCTGGAAGTGGAAAACTTAACCAGGTGTCTGGTGGTATACACCTTTCTGAGTTTGAACATCCGGGAGTTCAGGGCTACAAAGTGAAGCCATGCCCTAGAAAGAATGGAAAAGGCCGAAGCAACAGCTTAGCTGCCATGTGGTGTCCTGCAGTGGTGGGCATTCTAAGCACTGTTCCAGAGGGTAGCTTAGGCTTGTGGGAAAGTGGAAGAGGGTGAAGTGGTTGGAAACTTGTACCAGTGTGCAAGCTGACTATTGGCCTTGTTGGGTAGGATGGTAACAAGGCATTTGTCGGCTTCAAGCACTCAGCAGCTGCAGTCAACTTAGGCTAAACCTTACACTGAGGGCTGACATTCACCCCTACTTGAATATAGTGGACTCCCGTGAATTTGCTTCCTGGCAACACCCTCCAAGTGGGTCCCTCAGGCAGTGGATTAAGGTCACCTAGAAGTTTCAAGGCCAGAATGGGGCTGGTAGGTGAGCAAGTCAGGATGTCCAAATTTGAGTCCTGGTAAGGGAGGGTGCCTAAACTACCTGGCCTCCAGCTCAGGAACCAGCCTGCCTCTTCTTCGAGTTGGGTGTTCTGCCAAGGGTAGATTTTTTTGTGGGGGAGCGGGGTGGTGTTGAACCTAGGGGCCTTGTCCACGCTATTTCACTGAGCCACATCCCTGGCCCCATAAGTCATGGACTAGGGATGTAGCACCTTATTCTACAGGCTGTACCCTAGAGGACATAACCTAGGTCTAGTCAACCCTGTGGAAAGCTGGAGCCTATAGAAATGCCCATTTAAAGAATGAGTAGATGTCCCAACCTAGAGGGCGCTGAGTGACCTGCCAGACAGGTGTGAGGAGTGGGAGCTGAAGGCTGGCACCCTGTGCACATATCCTTGAGTGTGGACAGGCTCAGGGTCCCCACCAGACAGGAACAGGATGTGAGACACCAGAACTTGTGTGTGAGACACACCCACCTCAAAGGTCTGGTAACAACTGTCCTGACCAGAAATAACTTTATTTCTTTTTTGAGCAGGAGCCAGGCTTTGAGGGGCCCCAGCCCTGAGCCACATTTATGATACAACCCATCACAACTGGATTTTTAAAAAATACACAAAAATATATATAATACATGTTATAAAACCTAGGTGGGGTTTGGAGGTGGCCTGAGCAGTATGCTAACGGTGAGGACCTTCAGAAAGCTCGGGCAGGGTGAGGAAGGCACAGTACTTCATATGAAACTCATAAATACCCGGGGGGGGGGGCATGCCAGCTGGCCCTCGGGGACCTGGATATGGAGAGGGCAGCAGGGGGATCAGGTCTAGGGACAGCTGCCCAGAGCAGGGAGACACCCAGTTAGTCTGGGAGTGGAACCCAAGGGCTCTGCAAGCCCAGACTGTCTGCAGAGGCCTGCTGCCCCCTGAGGGGTCTTGGGTGTTTAAAGGGTTCCCTGTAGCTGCTGTGCTGGAGATTGGGCAGACCTGCCCCCTCATGCCAGCACAGCCCACTCCCCATGGTCAGCCCTGCTTGGAGGAGGTAGCTGAAACCAGGCTCCCGCTCTCCCGTTCTGCCCACCTCTGTGGGCCTCCATCTTGGCACTTCATCTGATATACCGAGACCCACATTTGCTTTGCTATGTAAGGGGCCTGGCAACAGGATGGCACCCAGAAGGTACAGAAAAGCCTGGTCCCCCCTCTTCAACCCAGCCCCAGCTTGACACCTCCTACGGGGGCCTCTGCAGGCTGCCTCTCCCCCTGGGTCTCCACTCTATCTGCCCATCAGAGTCCCCTAGGGGCCAGAGACCATGCACTGACTCTGTCCCCACCTCTGAGGCCAGGTGGAGCCAGGTATCTGTGGGTCAATACCCAGGTGGGCTGCCCCGCCACTGAGCCCTCTTGTCTCCCTCGGTAAAGCACAGAACAGTGGCAGGGGGTGTGTGCGGGGACCAGGGAGGTGGCCTGGGTACTGGTCTGAAGCCCATGAGTGGGTTAGTCCCCAACCCAGACCCCCGGAGACCAGGCAAGTGGGCATGTGGAAGATGTCCATCTTGCATCCTTGGGGGCACCAAGGACATCCTAGTCTTTGACAAGCTTGTAGACATGGTGCTGTGCTCCGTGCTCACTGGTGGAGACTTCGAAGACAAAAGCAATGACCAGCAGGGTCTCCTGGGAGTCCCGACTCGTGACCACCTGGAGGGCAGGGAGGGAGACGGAAGTGCTCAGTAGAGCATGGCCAGCAGGGTGGATGTCTGGGCAAACCCTGCTCCTGTCCATGCCGGCCTGCCCCCAGCTCCTCAGCGCTCGCACCTGCAGGATGGTGAAGTTCTCCAGCACGCTGTTCATCATGTACTTCTCTGGCAGGTGCTTCAGCTTGTGGATGAAGTTGATCATGTACTCGCACATGGGTGAGCGGTGGATGCGGTACACGAAGCGGCCGTTCTCCAGCCGGGCATACTCAGTCTGCAGAGCAGGGCGACAGTGTCACTGGGTTGCCTGTGCCCTCCACCTGTCCATGCCCCCCCACACACACTCACCTCCACCTTCTCCACCACCTGCTTGCCAAAAGAGCACACCTTGGTGGAGACACTGATGGTCATGCTGTCGGCTGAGCTGTATTGCGAGCTGACCCCGTAGAAGGCCCCCGGGCCCTCCTGCACTGTGCTGTTAAGGTCAGCCTGCAGGGGAGGACGCCAGGTGCTGCAGAGGCCCGAGGCTAGACTCCTGCCTTCCCACTTCAGGGCTACCAGTCCCACCCAGGGGTCTGCAGGTCATGGAGGCGAGCAGGGATCAGGGCAGGGAGCTGGGAGTTACCCATTTTGGGTAGGGAGAAGATGGCCTCACCCAGAACTTGACAAGGAAGAAAGCGTTTGGGGGCCCCTTCTCGTAGAGCTCCTTCAGGCCCCCCTTTTTCTCAGGGAACTTGTCATAGATCTGGCGTACATCCACTGCCTCCAGGGGTGGGTCTGAGAAGGCAGGGTTCGTCTGGCCGATGTGCACAAACAGGTGTTTGCTGTACTGTGGGGAGGGCCGAGCCAGGGTCAGGAGGATGCTGAGCACGCAGGCGCAAGCCCCGCCCCAACCTCGAGGACCTTAACTGGGTGCTGGATCACAGGTCAGTCTCCCCATGACTGCAGAACACCCCCCACATTACCGTGTCAGGGTCCCGCTGCACCTCCATGAAGGCAGAGTACTCGAGGAGCCGCAGCCGAGAGGAGGCGATGGTGCGGTCCTGCCACACCGGCACAGAGGCGGCGGCTGGGGGCAGTGGGGCCAGGGGCTCATAACCTACAAGGGCAGGATGGAGCCCATCTGCCCAGGCACAGTGGGCAGCAGAGCTGGGGCTGTCCCTGTGCTGAGACTGTAAATGAGAACATGGTGCCAATTCTGAGGAGGAACACACGTTGGGCTCTGACTCTGCTACTGGGCAAACCTGTACAGTGTACAACCTCAGGCAGCCCTAGTAGTATACAACGGGACATTTTCCACCAGTCAGTATTAATGAGTGTTTACACAGAAAACGGAAAAGAGGGAAAATACTCAACGCCACCTAGAGAGTAAAAGCTCTGTTAAGATTTCCATATACAGGGCTGGAGAGCTGGCTCAGCCGTAAAGAGCACTGGCTGCTCTTGCAGAGGCCCAGGGCTCAGTTCCCAATACCCACATGGCAGCTAACAACCATCCTTAACTCCAGCTCTAGGGGATCCAATGCCTTCTCTGGCCTCCATGAGCATTGCATTCACATGGTGGACTTACATACATGTAGGCAAAATAGACACATAAAATAATTCAAAAAATATTCCAATGTGTTTCCTTACAGAGTAGAAACATAAATGTAACACTTTTGGTGGTGTGCATGTGTGGCTGTGTCTATTGGCTACACATGGTTTTCTATAGAAAGCAACACTGCCTAGCCTGAAACCTCTACAGCGGCCACCCTGCCCAGGATAAGGCAAACATGAGCCCCAGGTACCACAAAGAGGCCAGAGAGCAGAGGTACGGGCCTGGTGGGACACTTACTGCTGAGCGTCGGTGGCAGGGGTGGCTGGATGGGATAGGCGGGCTGTGCAAAGGGCTTGATGCTGCAGACAGGAGCACAGCAGGTTAGAAGTCCTCAGCACCTTTCACCTGCCCCAGATCCCCACTCGGGTTCCTGACCTCTCAGCTGAGGTCTCGCAGCACATGCTGACAAGCTAGCTGTCTTTCCCTACTTTTTAACTCACAACACCCAGCTGTGTCCCATAGCCTCCACATTTCACACGCCCTCCCATCCCCCAAAAAACTGTTCATAAACTGAGTATGGAGACGGTTAGTGTGATCTCAGAACTGAGGATCCTGAGTTTGATTCACTACTTGATGGTAACCCGTGATGGCTTGGGAAATAAATACAGGGTTAGTGACAGTGGGTGACAAGGGGTCAGAGGCCTCCTGTCACCCTCACTGCCTCCAGCTGTGACAGAGGCAATACTTACTCCTGAGAGGGTCCGGGCTGCTGTCCCAGCAAAGGGGGGCTGTTCCAGAACTACAGACAGGCAGGGATGGGGCCTTAGCACCCAAGAATCACTCCAGCCACACCCCACACCAGCCTCCCACCCCCATCCTGGGCTCACCCCATACCCGTGAGGAGGTGGAGAAGACAGCCTGGGGTAGAGGCGAGGGTGGGCTGAACTTGTTCTGCAGTACACTGGCAGAGACGATCTGGGCTGAAGACATGGAAGCCATGCTCTGGAGTGCTTTGTCCTTGGAGACCTGGTCCTGGGGACACAGAGGCTACATGAGGCTTGGGCCAGGAACCCACAAGTCTGGACTGCAGCCCCAGCTCTGCTTTGTGGTTTCAAAAGAGTGTGTACCCCTCTCTCTGGGCCCCAGTCTCTAGCATATATCACCTTTCTGACCACACTCCACAGTAAAAAATATTACTTTATTCTGTAACTGGATGGCTGTCCCCTGCTGTCTTTGGGGGAGCTGGTTCCAGGACCCCTCAGATATGGACGGCTGGATGCTTAAGTCCCTTACACAAAATAGTGGAGCATCTACTCAGACCCTGCCCCACTCCGTGACACCCACACTCATCTTTGGAATTTCTCTATGAAATCAGACTCACTTCATAATTCACAATTTGGAGGCTTTTGTTTGGTTTTGGGGTTGTACTGGGGACTGTACCCAGGGCACAGGGTATGCTGGGCAGACATTCCACCACAGCAACATATCCCAACCCTGTCACCCAGATTTGGAGTCCTGGCAATGGTGCTCTCAGCCCCTCCCCAGGGAGCACTGGGGTGGCAGAGCTACTTACCAAGTTCATGGCCTGTGAAGGAGAGAGGGGGGAGGATGGATTAAAGGAGATACATGTGAGGAGGGGACATGTCATTTTACACCCTTATCCTCAACCCCACCCTGTGCCTGTTGGCTCCCGAGGAGCCCAAGGAAGTCAATAGGTGAGGCAGCTGAGCACCCTCTTCATGCCCCAAGGAGTGCTTGCCAGTCAAAGGGTGCCCGGGCAAGGCTAGGATGAAGGAGAGACAAGCTGGTGGGTACCCCGGATCGTCTGTCCCTTCTAGAATTGCACCATGGGCTTGGGGGCCTCCGGGCATGGAAAAGTGTACATGGCCAACATGGGACGGTCAGCCCTCAGATGCCAGGCTGACACCTTCAGCTTTACTGACCCACCAGCCAATGCTCCTCATGTTCCCTCCTGTCCACCTCAAGTCCCCACGATTAGCAGCAGTAGGTATGAGGAAGAAGAAAAAGGATAAAGAGGAGAGGCGGGTCTGAGTGGCCCCTAGATGGTCTCCCTCCCCCTTGCCATTTGGCTGTCCTCTTGGCTCCTGCCCAGTCCCCAGGGGCTGTGGCCCTGTGAAGCCTGACAGTTTTCGAGTTTCTTGCTGTCCGTTGTGTCTCACAGACCACCCCCTCACTCACAGTTTCTTGGTCCCATTAATGGTCCCTGTCCTGGACCCAGGAGGGTGCTGGGCAGGGCCAAGCCAAGTGGCAGGGAACCCATACCTTCAGTTTGGATTGAATCTCTCGAGATTTCCTCCTGGCTAGAACCTGCAAGTGACTAGAGACCTGTAGAGAAAGAAAGACAGACAGAGAGGGAAAGGACAGAAGAGAGGCCAAGGACAAAACTCCAGAGGAAGAGGACCAGCAGGCGGGACAGGCAGCAGAGGCAGGGCCTGCGCCGTGCAGAGAAGGCCAGGTGCCACTGAAAAGGCCAAGGAAGAGTCCAAGGCCCAGCCAGGCACCCAACATACCTTGATGCCAACCTGGTACTCGCGTACTTTCTTCCGAGCTAGAACCTGTATGTGGCTGGACACCTAGGGGCCGCCCCAAGCCCCGCCACAAAGGAAAACACAGATGGTGAGGAGGTGAGGAGGCATGGACACGGGCAAGGAGCACTCCCAGCCCTCGTCTCTAGGGGACCGAGTGTAAATGGGGAACTCAGGAGCCCCAGTGGGAAGCCCACCAACTCTGCCTTCTTCTTGGCCTTGTATTCCCCATAAACAAACTGTTCTTTTTCATTTTGCTCTGAGCCTGGAGGTAGTCACACGGGTGGTGCCAGCACTCCGGCACTGCTGGCTGAGACCTAGCTTGGCACTCCTCCTCGTCCAGCATCCCTGCCCAGGAGTCAGAGCCTCTGCTCGCTTCTTGCCCTGAAGATACTGAGAGCCACTGAACTCAGGAGCTGATGGTCCCTGAGCTTCAAATGCCCAACCCCTATCTGCAACGTTAAGAAGCCAGTTCTAATGTGACTGCTGACTGACAGGTCTGAGACAGCTCGAAGCCACAAGGGGTTTACTACCAACTCAATATTTAGCTGTCTTAATATTCAGGCATTGTTGGGGCTGGAGAGATGGCTCAGCAGTTAAGAGCACTGGCTGGCTGCTCTTGCAGAGGACCCAAGTTCGATTCCCAGCACCCATATGGTGTCTAACAACTGTCTGTAACTCCAGTTCCCAGGGGATCCAATGCCCTCTTCTGACCTCCGCAGACATTATACAACATGGGTGCACTTACATATATGCAGGCAATATACTCATACACATAAAATAAAAAGGTGTACTCTGAGTTCCCCTGAGTTCAGGATGACTGTGGTTTATCACAGTGGTCACTTGGAATGACAGCAGCAGTTGCACATCTACCCAGCACTTACTGCTTTGGGTGTCGATGTAGCAACTAATTCTGAGGTTGGAGGGGAGCTAATTTCCAGTTAGGAGAGCTTGTTTCTGAACCAGGGATGTAACCTGGGAGTCTGTGTTGTTTGGAGGGAGGTGAGGTTAAGACAGGGTCTCATTCCGTAGCCTTGGCCGGCCTAGAACTCACTGTGTAATCTCAAACTCACTGGAATCTTCCTGCCTCAGCTCCAAGTGCTGGGATTACAGGAAGGAATGCATCACCATGCCTGGCTAGAGTCTGTTCTTAACCATCAGCCTTTCTACTTCAAGGAGGCCTGGGCCCAGAGACCAGAGCCCCGCCTGGCCATCCTCTGCTGTACTGCAGACCACAGGAGTGTCTCAAAGCTCACCACAGGAACGCACTCGAGGCCCAGGGCAAGCACTTACTAAATGCTGGACAAGTGAGGAATCCTTCCCACTCCATACTGGGCAGGGGCCCCAGAACCTTTAGGATGGGGGTGGTGCAGGTGGGGCTGGGGAGGTGGACACATGGTCCAAGTCCCAGAACACAGCCTGGGAGGGTTCAGGTTGAGCTGGCCTCCCTGCCCCCAGGCCTCAAGTCAGGCCTGGCTTCTCTCCTCAGACACCCCAGAAGCAACTCACCCAACCCATTCCTCTTTGCCTGGTCACCCACTGCCTTCTTCCAGTCTGTCCTTCCCACAATGGAAGTCATTAACACTCCCTCCATCCCTACCACTGTGGATCCAGTCTCTGCCCCCACATCCTGGCAGGCCTCTCAAGGCTCTGCCAGACCTTCCCCAGTCCACTGCCCCAGTGGCTGCAGGGACATGTCCTCCACAGCTGCCCTCATTCCCTGCCATGGAGAGCCTCCTGCCTCTGCACCACACTCCTGGTCAGTTCCTGGTTCATCCAGGGTCTAATTCTAACTCCCTCTTTTCCCACCTCAGTGACATCATGAGGGGTCACTAAATTCCCCTGGCCTCTTTTTTTCAGGGGGAGTCTTTTTGAGACAGTCTTTCTATAGCCCCAGCGGGCCTTGAACTCATAGAGATCTGCCTGCCTCTGCCTCCCAAGTGCTAGGATTAAAGGTGTGTGCTACCATAGCCCGCCTGCCTCAGTTTCTTAACAGAAAGAACAGGCTCTTAGTGGATCTAGGAACAACAGTCAGGCCTGGCTTAACAGTGAGAATTACATTGTTTGGTGATTTCGTGGCATACAAGCTCCAGCGTGCTCTGATACACATGTTGGGGCCATGGCCTCTGGGCACCTGGGCAATATGGGGTGGGGTATGAGTTATCATATGTGAGCTCTGCTGAACCCCAGCCTGGTGGGGTTCCCATCCTCCCTGCCTGGCTAACTCCTATGCTTCCAAATGCAACTGGTTATCACCTCCTCCGGGAGTTCTTCCTGACTCACCCCCAGAGCATCTGGGTTAGATGCTCGGCTATTCAACCCCACTCTGCTCTGTCTCCCTGATTGGTCAGCAGGACACTTGGGGCAAGAGCCCTTTGGGCTTCTCTGTGGTCTCTAACCCCAAGGGACCCATGTATGGGGTGGCAGGTGGTCAGGAGGACAAGACCATCTCTCCTGGACAAAGGGCGGAGTGCAGGGCTTGGAAAGCCACCCAGCAGCAGGAGAGGGACTGATGGGGTGCAAGGCTGGGTAGAAGCATCTCTGGGGAAGTGGGCAGGGCAGACCAAGCTGGGCAGGCAGGGCTATTGGGAGGGTAGGCCGAGGGGCCCTAGCCCCGATCGTCTACCTGCTTTCTTGTCCTTGTCTTCCCAGTCCTCAGTTTGATGTAGCGTGCAATCAGCTCATTTCGACCTAGATAAGAGACAACTGGTGAGGACTGGGTGGAGCTGGAGGCTAGAAACCCCGCCCTCACCACGGCTCCACTTGGAGTTCTCACAAGCAGGCCCACCTGTGGCCCCACAACGCATTGCCTCCAGTACTTGGTCGGGGGGAGCTATCAAGGGAGTTGTAGGTGAGGTCTACAGAGGAAGGAGGAGCACCTCCTTCCTAGACATCACAGCATAGCCATCACTCCCAGCCCCCAGCAAGGCTTCCACCTGATCCCAGGCTGAGTGTGTAGCTGTGTGAATGGGTCTGCCCACGTGATAGGACGGTGGGTCTCAGTCTACATCCCCTGTGTGTCTAGCAGCAGGCTACACAGAGTTCTGTCCTGATCCATCTTGGTCATGGGAACCCTGGACAAGTCATGTCCTTTCTTTAGTGAAGGAAGTCTCCGAAGGCCTCCACTATGTCTCCAACGCTGACAGCTTGGGTCGAGGTGTGTCACTGGATCCTCATGCCCACCACCCCCATATGACTGGTCACTTAGGGCAGCCCAGATATCTGTGAGCCTTGGGGTGGAGGCTCTGCTCAGCACCACAGACCCTCCTGAGGTTCTAGACTAGACAAGGTGGGGGCTGTCTGGGCATACCACAGGAAATATGTCAACATGCAGGGTGTGCACTGGGTCCCCCAACCCCTTGGCCTCCCCAGAACAGCCAACATTCCCCAAATTCCTCTGGGATGACAGAACACCACCTCTCCTCCCAGTCTTCAGCCCCCCTACTTTGTCTAAAAATACCCCATGGGGCTGCCCTGCCATCTTCCAGGGAGCAGTGGGGACAGGTAGCCCCACCCCCGAGGAGGCGCCCCAGAACATCTGCCTGCCCCAAGAATGGGGTTCAGGTGCCAAGGACTGGCCTGCCCAGTGGGCGGAGCTGAGGGATGGGGGCAGCCCTCCCAGCTCCCCACTTCTCCCTAGAGCCCCCCCCAGCCCTAGGTGCTGGGGCTGCCTCACCCGGTCACCAGCAATCCCAGAGGTTCTCTGGACTGACCCAGTTTCCCCAGGCCCCTGAGTCACCCCGAAACCTCCAGCCGGCAGGGCTGGGGAGAGGCGAGGCAGGCGGGGCACGTGTGGGCTGCGGCCGGCCTGTTTGCGAGGTGCAGGAGGCCCCAGACACACACACACACACAAGCAGCCTGTTTGCGAGGTGCAGGAGGCCCCAGACACACACACACACACACACACACACACACACACACGCACGCACGCACACAGCCCGCCCGGACTCGCCCGCCAGGCAGGCGGCCAGGACTCCCCCACTCCCCCAACCGGTCGGGCGAGGGACCGAGAGCAGGGGGCGTGGTGTTCGGGGCGGGGCGGGCGTCCATCCTGCCGGCTGCCCTTACCGTACATCTTGCCCTCGTCCGACAGGATGATCTTGCGCCGGCCGCAGGGCGGGTAGATGGCCAGGGCCTCTTGGAAGCTCTGCTCGATGTCCGGGCTCCACACCCCCTCCGCATCGTTGTCCAGTCCTTTGTCCAGGCCCTCGGGCCCATCCTCCCGGGCCTCCCCGGGACTGTTGTTGGCGGTCCAGCTGTTGGACGCTATTGTGCTGGTTACCCTGGGCTCTGGGCCTGAGCCCCCTGGTTGGCCTGAGCCTGGGGAGCAGATGTTGAGAGTTAGGGCAGAGTCAGCTCCAGCAAGTTTCTGCCCCAGCCCCACTCGGGGGACTCTCCCTCACCCCCACACCAGGGACGGGGCCCCAGGCTGGATGGAGGCTTCGAGAGGTTATGTTTGTTCAGAGCTGTGTGACTTTGGATAAATTACCTTACCTCTCTGAGCCTTGGTCCTATAAAAGGACAAAAGGGTCTCCTGGAGTTGTGAGGGTTAAAATTTAAATGAGATGACAATAAAAACCAACCACAGGCCAGGCTGGGAGCACCCAAAAAGCAGTTCTAGCAGACCTTGGCAGTGTGGTGTTACATCCTGTAATACCAGTACTTGGGAGGCTTTGGCAAAAGGATCAGGAGTTCAAAGTCATCCTCCTCCACTACACAGTACATTTGAGGCTAGCCTGGGCTGTATGATGTCTTGTCCCTTCCCCTGAAAACAAAGGCGTGTGTGTGTGTGTGTGTGTGTGTGTGTGTGCAGCAAGATGGCTCAGCCAGACCTTTCTGCCAAGCCGCCAAGCCTGAGGACCTGTTTGGTCCCTGGAACCACATGGTGGAAGGAGAGAACCCACAAACTGTCCTCTGACCTCCAAATTCATGCCATGGGTTACAAACTCTCTCACACAAATAATCATAATAATAATCAAAGAAAATTAGCAAAATGGAAAAAAAAATCTCTAAAGCTATCAAAGACAACAGTGGTCCATACCAACATGCACTGGAAAGCCAGGTGTGGTGATGCACACCTGTGATACAGGCACTCAGGAGGCTGAGGCAGGATTGAGAGGATTGTGGTGGTGTACACCTGTAATCCCAGCATTCAGGAGACTGAGGTAATTAAGACTGCAAATGCCAATTTGAGCTACACAGTGAGACTTGGTCTCAAAATACAAAAAAGAAGCATTTAAAAAACTGGGCTTGGGCCAGCACTCGGGAGGCTGAGGCAGGCGGATCTTTGTGAGTTCAAGTCCAGCCTGGTCTACGTAGTGAGTTCCAGGACAGCTGGGGCTACAGGGAGACCCTGTCTCAAAAAGACAAAAAAAAAAAAGAAAAGAAAAAAAAAACTGGGCATGGTGTTAGTGATCTAAGCACTTGGAGGGGGGAAAGGATCAGGAGTTCAAGGTCATTTTCAGCTACATAGCACAATTGAATCCAGCCTAGGCTAACTGAGAGCTGCCTCCACATGGTACTTTAATGTTCAGTCAGTACCCACACACTTGGGAAGGCAGGCATGATGCCCATTATTTAGAGGAGGAAAACTGAGGCTCTTCTGGCACTCTGAGGAGTATGGTAAGCGACAGTCTGCAGCTCTCACGGTGGGGAGAGAGGTAAGAGCTCCAGCCAGGACCTCTACCCCTCACTCCCACCACATCAACAAAGCCCCGCTTAGCACTGTGAGATGGAGCTTGCTTTCACCTTCCCCACAGCAAAGTGAAGACAGCCCCACAGAGGAGCCTCCCGTGGGTCAGGGGCTGCCCTGGGAGCAGCAGTCAGGACTGAGCAGCACAGGCCGGCAGGGAGGTGTAGCCAGCCAGGCTCAGCCCAGCCTGCTTCTCCATCCACTTCCTGTTCCCGCACCTCCCCAGCCCCACAACAGCCCATAAACCACCCACACGCAGTCCTGTCCTGGCCCACACTGGCAGAAGGGCCAGTGCTCCGTGAACTGCCGTCCCTGTACTCCCCAGGCAGGGTTATTAATCCAGACCGCACCCAGCCTGTCCCCAAGCACAGAGCCCCAGACCTCACGCCTCCTGCAGAGTCCTGGGAGCCTTCAGTCCTCGGTGGGTGGAGCTTTGTTCTGGGCAAGCTCTGAGCTCATTTATCTATGTTAGAGACAGGGTCTCACTGTGAAGTCCAAGCTGACAGATCCTTCTACCTCTTCCTCCCAAGTACTTTGATTTCAGGGGTCTCCGATTGCATCTGGCTCTGACCATCAAGTTTGGATTTAATATTACTAACAGTAGCACCTGCCATGCGCCAGGCACGGTTCTGGGATTTTACACAATGACTCATCCAATCCTCATAGTAACCCTATGGGATACTATTATTAATTCTACTTTGTAGATGAGAAGTCTAAGGAACAGAGAAGTTATACAACTTCCCTAAGGACACACAGCAAGTACATGATAGAACTGGGTTTGGTTTTTATTTTGTTTTTATGTAGTTGGTTGTTTTTGTTTTTGTTTTTTTTTTTTTTTTTGTTTTTTTTGGAAAGGGGTTCTCTT